GGTTGACAATGAGAATAGCATTCCTGGAAATTAAAATCTTACCAGTCAAATATTTGACTCTTCTTGTCCGACCAACAATTACATTAGACCATTTTTCGCAAACTGAAATTGGAATTCGTCAAATTACTATTAATTAACAAATCATGACTTCAAATCAACGGAAATATTAGTATCTGAATATTGCGATTTATTAGTCAGACGATCAACAACATTCATAACAGTATAGCAAAAGAGCTTTCATGGGAACCGTTTCGTATAAAAATGGATTAATATGTTGCGCTTTTTTGAGTGTATCATGTATTTTACTTTGATTCACATTTACATTTCAATTGATAGCTATAAATGATTCCAATATAATCAGATTCCGCTCACATTTAACAATTTAAATACATGAAAATAACATGATTTGCACTTACCTTTGTAGCAGTTTATTAAATCTTGTAAATCTTGAATGAAATCAAAAATAGTCAGCAAACAGTCATCTGAAAGCTCATTTATTAACATTGTTTAAACCACTACGTTTAGGGTAACCAGTATTTAATCAAATGGTTATATTGTATAATCTGACGCTATTTTGAAATTGGTTAACTTGATGGTTAACTAACACTGTTAACTAAATATGCACAGTTTGGTCTAAGACAGAGATAAGGAGAGTGATTAGACCTGATAAAAAAAGTCAAAATGAAAAATGAAAATGATAAGAAACCTAAAATGAAAATAGGAAAACCCATTGAAAGCAATGGAAATCAAGACAAAAATGTGTCTTGAAAATTAAAAAAAAAGTGTTGAGATTAGATTACATAGTGGTTTAAATCAGTTAAACCACAATATCTCGAAGCTATGAGAATTGAATGAAATCAAAATAGTCAGCAAACAGTCATCTGAAAGCTCATTTATTAACATTGCTTAATCACCTATATGAAATGTTAACTCTTAATCAATTTTAGTTAAGAATAGCACTGTATAATAATTAAATAGCAGCTAGTCTGATTCATGACGACGAGTCAGTTGATACTCTCAACTTGTAAGTAGAGCTGACAATGGGACGTGTGCATCGTCTAATTCAATGGATTGAACCTCGATCAAGCTCAACACGAGAATGCTTCTCAAGATGAAACTCGATTTT